TTGTTTTTTTTTTGTTGGGGGGGGGGGGGGGGGGGGGGGGTGGGGGAATGCAACTACTTGGTAACTTTTTGGAGAAACCAAAATAAAAAAATTAAAACAAGCTCTCTAAGTAATAAAAATCAGTAGGATCTAATTATTCATGAATCCAAATACTCTGAATTTGAACAACAATATCGAAAATTAAGCCAAACAGAGTCTATCCATTTAACAGAAAAAAATCCCAAAAAAAAAAAAAAAACTAAACAATCAACATTAATCAATCCACCCTCACCAACATCTAATTTATCTACTTAAGGACTAGTAATAAAGCTACCCACAATGACACTTGAGACAAGAGAAGCCATTGACACCATGACAACCGAAGGTGTAACTGTTGGTGCAATTGACCTAGCTGGTGCTGGTGCATGATGGTCCGGCGGAGTGTGGCTGGAGGCCGGACCACTACCCTTTGAAGGAATCAAAGTTGATGGAGAGGGCGATAAGGGTGTTTTTGATGGAGGAGGGGATGAAGTTGGATCTGAGGTCTTCGGAGAATGCATGGTTGCTGGTGCAGGCGACACTGCTGGACTCTTGCCGGACTGAGAAGATGATGATGAAGGAGACTTCGTAGGAGCCGGCGAAGGCACTCGGTTGTGGGTTTCCGGAGAGGGTGACTTAGGTGTCATAGCCGGAGAGGGGGACAGGGATGTAGACCCTTTGGGAGGTTTAGCTGCCGGAAAGGGGGACCCGGGTGTAGACCCTTTGGGAGGTTTAGCGGCCGGAGTGTGACTAACCGGTGCCGGAGCTCTTGCAGTTGGAGATGGAGATGGAGATGGAGATGGAGAAGGAGATAGAGATGGAGATGATGGAGACTTGGGCTGGTTTCTCTCTGCAAGGACAACGATGATAATTTTTTGACCTTTCTTACAATTTGATTTCTTTCCACTGATGAAGTAGAAAGGACCTGACCGATCAAAGTTGAATGTTGAATCACCATCCTCCATCTTCTTGATTGGTTTCTTTGTTTTGCACTTGTCATAATCATCTTTGTTCACTACTAAAACAGAATCTGATCCTTTCTTATACTTGAAATCTGTAACAATTACACAAAACACCCAATAAAAACCTCATCAAACAAACATACCAAAACACCAATATGAATATACATTAGATAGATAGAGAGAGAGAGAGAGAGAGTCGAAATCATTAAGGAAGAGAGATTTGTGGAAAGAAGGAGGCTTACGCAGGGTGTCATTAACTAGGAACCTCATTCTCTCAGCCCAGTGATTGTAATTTTCAGAAGGGTTTAAGACCCACCCATCTTCACTTCCCACGTTAAACTGGTAAGCCCCGGATAAACATATGGACATGGTGAAGAGCACAAAGAGGAGGGAGAAAGATCTCTGAACAGCCATTAGAGTTTGAGGTTGAAGAAAGAAATGTTTGTGAAAATGAGGGAAGCTTCTTACAAAACCCAAACTCAAGATATAGCAGACAACACCGAACGAAGAAGACTGAAATGGGGGGAGAGAGAGAGAGAGAGAGAGAATTGGAAACTGAAGCATTGGTGAGGTGGGAAATGGAATTATATAGGGAATTACAATTGATGTTACCGTTGCAGAAGCAGCAATTTAGGGAAACGTGTGAAGTGTTAAGGCGTATGTATTAACTCAGCAGCGTTTATTTTCTCCTAATTCCTGCATTTACACCGGCCAAAAATCCTGAGACTTAACGGTAATAAATATTTAATTCTGATGGGCTAGTGTCACTTAAGTTTGGAGTGTGGTCACAGATTATGAAGGGGTTTTGTTTGTGGTAAAAAATTTACCTAATTTATTGATATAATAATGAGTCAGTAACATGGTTTAATTGAAGATTAATTGTGGTTTAAGGGCTCCACACCAGCTGTTGAGCCGTTAGATCACGGGTTCAAATTTCATCAATCTTAAATAAAAAATGGGGACAGTTCACAACCTTCCCTTTTACTTTTTCTTTAATAATTGAAGGACACACTTGTATATAATAGATGACGTTATTTTCATTCCACAAATCTCCATTTCTATTTCATTTAATTTTTCATTATCAAACTATTAAATCCATCATTTCTACACCCACTCCATGAGTAATTAAGTCCACCCCATTTTACATACACCCCTTTTAATAAATAAATTCACTTTATATTTTATTATAATTAGGGTTTCATTCTTTATTTCATATTATGCACTCACAAAAACATTTTTTTCAATGAAATACAGGTTAATATTATTTCTCAATTTAATTCTCTATTTAATTTTGTGTTTATTATATAAATTTTTATTATTTTTGGTATATTTTGATATCTCTGTCAAGTTTAATAAATTTTTTTTTAAAATTTATGTGTGTATATATATGTATGCTTACAAATTATTTGTTCTTTTTTATCTTGTTAAAGTTTTGCGTTATTTTTTTTTTCTTATTCAATTTTGTGTCTCGGTTTTGTATCTTGTAATTTTGCTTGTTTATTTAATCTTTACTTGATTTTTTTTCTTGTTGTTTCGGTTTGTTTCTTTCTTCCTGTTTTTACATGTTTTGTTCTTTTCTTGTTTTGGTCTCCTTATTTTTTTTTTCTTATTTCGTTCTTTTCTTTTTTCTTATTTCAACATACTTGGTTTGTTTTACTTCTTTCATTATTTTTTTTTATTATGAATAGAATAAGTGAGTTTAACTATTAATAAAATGTATGTAGCATGAGATAAACTTAGCTACTAATGAGATGAACTTAGTAGTTTGATAATGAGAAATTAAATGGATTGAGGATAAAAATTTGTGGAGTAAAAATAACCCCACTCACATACAATAGATATTGCTTAAATATAAGAAAAAAAATTAAAGAAAAAATAGAGATCTAAAAATTTAATATAATTTATTGACATAATGATACGATTTCACCATGACTTTTGATTTGACTGTAGACTCTATCAAACATTGAAATTTGGTATTAATCCGGTGGTTCCAATGAATACTAGAACCCACCGTGAAATCAATAACTATAATTATTAAGTCTACTTTTTAAATTCACGTAATATTGCTCTTGTTTAATATTATACATTCGAATATCACTGAATTATTAAAAGATTTTTAAGTGCTACACTCAAAATCTAGTTTACACGTGGTAGATGATTGTTTCTCTTACACCCGACAAACGTGCTCAGGTCAAATGGTGTGTGTAAACTTTGCAGATACATTGCTCATTTGCTCTGCCTTCGCTGTTGCATTAATCGGCCATGCCTCTCGCGCTACATTGCAGCCCAGAAAATGCCAAGTTGCCAACATTCTCTTCACAAAAAGTTGCGGGTGGGTTTGCTGTTTACCCGGCAATACATGATGTTTATAGCAATTCCTTCAGAAAATGGGGTTAAACTAGAACTGGATTATCTCTCTTGCTGTTTTTAGAGAACTCCACTCTACTCCATTTGGTGCACTGTGTAAGCAACAGACCACCAGCTTGGCAGGAGAGTCCACATATTAAGTCCATCCACAATCCCTGTACCAAATAAGACGTGTGAGAACGAAAATTAGGATGAAACAAATGAAAGAGAAAGCAATTATAACCTGAAGTTTGCTCCGCGCGCACGTGTGTGAAAAACATAGGCTATGCCTATGCCTCACCGTAGCATGTAGTTTGACCTTGAATCCGAGGATGCAAGCAATTGGCAAGCCAATGAAATAGAATGTTGCCAAATTAATGCAAACAGCAAGATGCTGCCAACCACATCCCCTGGCCACCCCTGCAGAACCAAAGTAATCACATCAACTCAATGTAAATCCTTGAAAGAAACCTTACCCATCACAGTAACTAATTAGGGTTGAATCTAACCTGATAAGACTCCTTGGACAGAATCAAACATAATCGAGACTAGGAGCAGGAGTGTCATTGAAGCAAATTTATGTATTATTACTTGACTATCACTGAAGGAACCAGCCCAGATATCATGACCAAAACCTAGAGCCAAGATAACAACTACACCAAGGAGGATAGAGACCTAGAGACTGACAGCCATAGCGTGCTTAGCTCGATCAGGATTGCCTGCTCCCAATTCATTTGACACTCTTGTGCTGTTATATTAAGTTCAAATTAGTAATCAATAAGCCACCACTCTCATTGTACCACCTGTCCCACGCCGCAAAGAAATGGAGGGTGGGGGACAGTTGACGGGACTTCAAGCGACTTAGCAGCCCCCAAATCGACACGTGTGAAGGTATAGCCATTATGGAACTCAAAAGGCGCTGAAGAGTAATAGCTCGAAGGAGTCGAGTACACGAACTGACACTTGCATTTAATACAACTGAACCACTCATTTATGGCGATGTGAGTGGTTGAAACAGGACTATTAATGAGCCCCTGTATCCTCAAGACCTAAGCCTACGGTCATGATTGCTAGGTATTAATAGCTATTACGTCGAGTATACCTCCTCAGTGTGCCCCAAGGTACTATTCCCTGAGCATTAAACACTTGAGAGTAGGTGTCAGACGTCGATCAGAGGAACTTGAGTTCCTGAGGATAGCCGTAAATTCTTGACGTGGCCCCGAGAATTTGTCCTATCATTCGAGCAGTAAAAGTACGAAGATTTGAGTGGAGAACACTAATTGCGCATGGGTAAGAGTGCTAGACATTAAATGCTGAGTTGAGACTTAAAGCCTTTACGCTCATTACTAACCCAAGTATAAATACTTCTCTGAAAAATGAACAAAAATACGTAAAACAGAACTGAGATAGAGAATACACTGTGCTCAAGCCTCCTATTTTATACTGACTTAAGTTTTGGAGGGAACAAGCTGGGTATTCACCTGACCTCTTTTATGACCTTACAGTTGTTTCAGATTCATCATATAGACGATCGCTACCTCAATCTATTGCAAGAATTCTCCCGTATAGTAGCTGTGTTCTCTAGTAAGTAGAAAGAATCATAGGTTTGAGACTCCTGTGTTGAAAAAAAATTGGAGAAAACTACGGTGAGCATCGGTGAAATTACAATGGCATTGCAAAAATTGAATGAGGCCATGTTCAAATTCGATATATGAAAAATAAAGCAGAGATGAGAAAGATTAAGAGAGGAAAAGGTCACTAACCACACCATCGCTGCAGAGGGAAGGGCCAGCTTCAAGGTTATAAGAACATAATGGAATGACTCCCAAGAAAATCCTTCCCAGGTTTGCTTAAATCTTTTTGGCATAAAGCATACACATGGCCAACATAAGAACTGAGATCCACAAAGAAACTGAAACAGCCATTGCTGCTCCATTTAAACCAAGAGCAGTCCAATGGACCAAAATATAGGTGATGAAGATGTGGATGACTATTGGGAACACTGCGCACACAACCAGTGGTTTAACAACAGATTGTGCCCGAAGAAATCTCAAAATGTTCTTCAAAACTGCGTATGCAAATAATCCTGGTATAAGGTGCTTCTCGTACAAAGATGCAGTTTTTGATATTTGAGGATCTTGATGAAGTAAGATCAGAATGGGTTCAGTGTACAGCCATCGAATGGATATAATGATAGAAAAGAAGATAGATATAACCACGATGCCTGTAGATATATTCCCAACATCCTATACAATTTTGCACCATATCCTTGCCCACACAATGTCTCAAATGCTCCACTTAGGCCAATCTAAAACAGGACGAATGAGAAACTCTCTCTCAGTCACTATAAAGAGGGGCACAAGGAAAACATATAGTACTCTCAACTTGATAGTTTGTTGCCAAAGGTAGTAAGTACTTAAGCATCAAAATCATTGTTGAAATTCCAAATTGGGGCCAAGCCACACTGTTGTAGTTCCAAATTGGGGTCAGGCCACAAGGAATTTATCCCTCATGAATTCTCTGATCTCGGCGTGGATGACCTACCTTTCACCAGACTGGAAAGGGAACTAGTCGAGGTACGCGCAAGTTAGCTCAGACACCCTTGACTAAAAAAAATAACTTATGAAAACACAAGTGTATATATTTTTTGAGAAATGTATTGAGAGCTAAGTATGTGAACTAATTATTATGTATGCAAATTAAGTCAAATTTTTAAGTTTCAATAATATTACACTTTTTTTTTTTTTTGGTTTTAGTTCGGCCTCGTCAATTTTTTTTATACAAACTATGTTTTGTCCCCCCTTAACAATGCCACTAACTTACATTGCCATTTCAACAAACAAAACATCTCTATTAGACCTCCAACTATAATTATAGTTTCATATTTTCTCCTTATCTATCGACTATCATCTTTCTTAAATTTTACATCCAACTATAATTATTGATTAACCTTGTTGCAGACATAAAAAATGTGAATTTTATTCCACAATTTATGTCTAAAATATGACAGTTAGACACTAGTGTCTGATCCCGTGCGATGCAAGGCCATCTCTTCTCCTCTAATCTCATACTTCACCTTTTATTCTCTTCCACTCATTATTTTATAAGTTAGTAAAAATATTGTAAAAATTATTAGATTGCAAATTTAATGTTTAAAAAATAATTTAATTAAGTGGGGGTTAGAGGAAATTTATGGGTAGTTATTTGAGGCATTCGGTATAATATGATTAGAGGATAGAGAATTTAATAATTCAACAGTTTTAAAAATTAGAAAAGTTAGAGGTCGCCCCCACTATCACCTTGTGTCATCGTTTTTTAACCCTCATATTACATGAAATTTACCCATTATTAAATTAAAATAATATTTATTAAAGATGAAAAGTAGAAGAAAAATGGATCACAATTAAATTTGAAATAGTTTTAAAAAAAAAATAGGAGAGGGTAGTTAAATAAGCCAAATGAAATAATAATAAAAAAATGTATAGATAAATTTAGTGTTGGAACAATGTGAAATAAGTTAAAATCGAGAAGTTACCATGAAATCGAGACCGTGGCTGTGGCCCAGGAGTTAGCAAGATTGGAGGCGGCCAGGTCAAGCTCTCCAAGATGGCCGGCGAACATGACAGATACCAGTGGTATGAGATAGAAGGAAACGCTGGTGAGTATTATCGGTAGAGAAAAGAAGATCTGGTTCTTGGCCTCCTCCACGTCCAACACCTTCTTCCACCACCACACCCCTCCAGCAGCGGAAGATTAGTATCTGGTCCAGTGCTTGGAGAAATCTCTCCCATTCTCTCTCTCCTCTTTCTAAACCTTGATTTCTCTAGTTGGACGCCTTCACTACAAAATTACACCTGATGAAGCAAAACATTAACTTCCAATAATGGCATTAGATTAGAGGCTACGTACAATATGCATGGCTGTTTTGTTACTCCACTCCAAATAGAACATTATTATTTTTGAAAGAAAAATATTATATAACTCAAATTTGTAACGGGATTATTAGATAAGTAGGTTTCATCAATTTTTTTAAATAAAAATCACTAATTCAATGGTCCTTATTGATTTGAAATATAAATTTAAATTACATAGTATTGCTCTTTTTGAGAAGTATGATCAAATCTTAAGGCATTATTATCATTGATACTGAAAGTTATAATTTTCAAAAATTAATTTACAACTTTTAAAAGTCAATTTAAAATTCTTTGAAGAGAAATTACAACTGTGAGAAGTTCATAATTGATGTAATCGATCATGACATTTCTTTCTTTTTTCAAAAATATAATTTTATTATAAAAAATTGTAACTTTCATTATNATTCCACAATTTATGTCTAAAATATGACAGTTAGACACTAGTGTCTGATCCCGTGCGATGCAAGGCCATCTCTTCTCCTCTAATCTCATACTTCACCTTTTATTCTCTTCCACTCATTATTTTATAAGTTAGTAAAAATATTGTAAAAATTATTAGATTGCAAATTTAATGTTTAAAAAATAATTTAATTAAGTGGGGGTTAGAGGAAATTTATGGGTAGTTATTTGAGGCATTCGGTATAATATGATTAGAGGATAGAGAATTTAATAATTCAACAGTTTTAAAAATTAGAAAAGTTAGAGGTCGCCCCCACTATCACCTTGTGTCATCGTTTTTTAACCCTCATATTACATGAAATTTACCCATTATTAAATTAAAATAATATTTATTAAAGATGAAAAGTAGAAGAAAAATGGATCACAATTAAATTTGAAATAGTTTTAAAAAAAAAATAGGAGAGGGTAGTTAAATAAGCCAAATGAAATAATAATAAAAAAATGTATAGATAAATTTAGTGTTGGAACAATGTGAAATAAGTTAAAATCGAGAAGTTACCATGAAATCGAGACCGTGGCTGTGGCCCAGGAGTTAGCAAGATTGGAGGCGGCCAGGTCAAGCTCTCCAAGATGGCCGGCGAACATGACAGATACCAGTGGTATGAGATAGAAGGAAACGCTGGTGAGTATTATCGGTAGAGAAAAGAAGATCTGGTTCTTGGCCTCCTCCACGTCCAACACCTTCTTCCACCACCACACCCCTCCAGCAGCGGAAGATTAGTATCTGGTCCAGTGCTTGGAGAAATCTCTCCCATTCTCTCTCTCCTCTTTCTAAACCTTGATTTCTCTAGTTGGACGCCTTCACTACAAAATTACACCTGATGAAGCAAAACATTAACTTCCAATAATGGCATTAGATTAGAGGCTACGTACAATATGCATGGCTGTTTTGTTACTCCACTCCAAATAGAACATTATTATTTTTGAAAGAAAAATATTATATAACTCAAATTTGTAACGGGATTATTAGATAAGTAGGTTTCATCAATTTTTTTAAATAAAAATCACTAATTCAATGGTCCTTATTGATTTGAAATATAAATTTAAATTACATAGTATTGCTCTTTTTGAGAAGTATGATCAAATCTTAAGGCATTATTATCATTGATACTGAAAGTTATAATTTTCAAAAATTAATTTACAACTTTTAAAAGTCAATTTAAAATTCTTTGAAGAGAAATTACAACTGTGAGAAGTTCATAATTGATGTAATCGATCATGACATTTCTTTCTTTTTTCAAAAATATAATTTTATTATAAAAAATTGTAACTTTCATTATCTTACTGAGACAAAAAATTTTGGTACGGTAAACTTCTCCAATGTTTTTTTTTTTTTGTGGGGAAATATTACGGTACCAATCCAATAATAAATAGAAAATATAGGTATCGCATGTTATGGTCATGTGCAAATTTTCAAGTTTTTTTTTTTTTACAATTTTTAGAGATTATTTATTATTTCTAAAACGTTCAATCACGTCTATCAATTGTTAACTATTCATGTCTTGCGTGCGGTAAAAAGTTAGTTATATTCAAAAAGAGATGCGGAAACCATAGTAAAATTCTAAATTAGGAGTACAACTAGGGGTATTCATGGTCAGGTTGGGTTAGGCCATGAAATTTTTCGGGTCAGTCCTGCGTGTGGTAAACTTGTGCTTTCATTTATGGAACGGACCGCACTTCGGATATGTATATACTACTCATAACCTAACCTATGACTCATTTAGTAGGCCTATTAGACGATATTGATGGAGTAGGAGAAGGTGATCAATGCTCTCTTCTAAATGGGTTTGGGTTTGTCGATTGTTGTTTGAACATGGCATCTTAAAGTTACCTCCATAGAATGCGAATGTATGTATTTGTAACGCCCCAAAATCTACAATAGAGACATTAACTATCTATAAACTATTCAAATCATGAAAGCATACTAAAATAACCATTAAATAATAAAAATATCCATCAATTCAATAAAATAACTAATCAATTCTAATAAAACATAAATAACTTCTTAAACTTACATTCCAAAACCAAAATAATATCTTGCAATTAACTAAATAAGAAATATTCATAATATTATCTAATAACCGAATTTCAGAAAATTAAACCAGAAAGAAGTATATGTAAGCCTCCACATCTGGATTCAAATCCTGATCCACTTCAGCATCAAAATTCACCTGCTCATCTAATGAGATATCTTCCCCAAGTTCAAAATCTGAAAAACATTTATATTGTAGGATGAGCAGACAAGTCCAATAGTAAAATATTTTCAAACACATATAAGGTTTAAAAATCATAAAAACAGGGTAAGTCTCAGTTTATAAAATAAATACATAACATTTGAAGTAAAACAATAACATTTAGTAACGATATCGAGTTTATAGTACAAAATAGTAAATTTCATAAATAGAATATAATTATTCGCAAATACCATGTCTCCAAATATTATATCTCATATATGTAAGTAGACTAACATGAATATACATATCGAACTTATCTTGTTCCCCCACCACAAATAAAAACTATCTCTAATCAATCCCTGCAAGCCCATCACGCTTCCAACTACTTTAGGAAAGACGTCCACTGACACATCAACAATTACGAATCCTCCCCATCAATCGTATACTAGTCCTTAGTCTCAAACCTAGGTGAATAAATAGAGGTTTGACCCTTGCAAGAAATCAACCCTCCTACAAGTGTTAGACAACCATTAAACCCTTCAAGGTAGAAAAACCTCTAACACTCTACGATACGCATTCTTGTGTAATCTACATTCATCACACTCACCCATACAAAAGATGATAACATTTTTCCACTTAAATCGTGTACACTAAATACATAGTTCCACAATTCTCAAGTAAAAGAATAATTGAAGCAAAACATGCAAAAGTTCATAAAAGAAGTCTTCACGTTCACAATATTCAAGATATAGGATTTTAATTAAATAAATATGACTTTTGAATATAAAACATGTGTTTATTCAAGACTGTAAGCATAATATTAAAAAAGAATATAAAAACGTTGTAGATCTACCTCATGGATAAGATTAGGAATCAAAAACGAAAATCTTAAAAGCAAATTATGTATTTTATTCAATAAAAGAATCATGGGTTCAAACGAACATAAAAATATTGTACATCTATTATTTATTTCATAATAAATATGAAAAAGATGTAATTATTTAGCCCTAATCATCAATGAGTGAATCTGAGAAATAGCCCCTACCTTAATCCACTGTTTAGTGAAACCCTAGCATGTTTGTAGCAATTCCCAAGCTTTAATCCTTCATAATCGTATCATTTTTCTTCTCTCTCACCCTCTTTTGGCACCCTAAGGTTTCAAAGTTCATAAAATTTGACCTAATGAGCATCCTTAGAATATTTATAGAGTTAAAAAAGGTTCAGGTAGCGCAAGCCTGATCACTGCATAACGCCATTCACGTTTAAACGTTAGTGGTGTTTGAACGTGCTCCACCCCCATTATCTCCTATTTTGTCTGGCCCACACTTCTACGGCTGATCCGTGTTCGAACGTAAATTCATGTTCAAACATACCTCCCATTTCTAACCTAGTTAAAAGTCGATTCACGAATTTTTTATGAAATACATTTTTGTAACCCTCAAAGTCTAATTTTTACTGTCCAAAAATCAGAACAATCAGATATCAGGGTACAATTATGTGCAAAATACAGAGGTAGTGTCAAATTCTGTTCTACCTAAAATACATTTTAATTCTGAAATACTTCCAATACACCCCATATCACTTATCCCAAGGTTTTTCGGCCTTCTGGATTTAATGGTTGTCTTATTTTGACCCAGAAATATTTAGAAATTTACCTAATTACCTTTCTCAAAGTTAAACACTTCCGAAACTAAATTTAACCTGAAGTCAAGACATGCGAAACTCAAACTTCATTTTATTCATTTTGAGAGAAGTTTTAAAGCGATATTATCCTTAGTTAATTATGATATGAGGTCTTATAGTATTACTTATGTTACACCTTTGACGTTTCTAGAGAAGTATTGCCGATTCTATGCAATTTTTAAGATAAACGTGCACAATTGCATATACACATTACAATTTGGTCATACCATTTCAGTATCTTGTCGTACATCAATTACTTACTCAATTCATGTATAGTCATATAGAGTATAGTTAGTGTCATCTGTCAGGTGTTTGTATTGCGTATTGTAATGTACAATCTGATTTTAGTGTCATCTGTAATGGCGTTTCGACTCATTTACCGAGTCCAATCAGTCCCCAGTTGTAGTTCGAATCCATTAACACTAAGCTGATGCCCAGTTGTCTTGTGCAGTTACATTACCCCAGGCCTAAATTTCAGTGTCTGGGCACTTACTATTATCTAGAATGAGACAAAGAACTGTTGACCAAAAGACATATTTCTCTAAGAAAAGTTGTAGCTAGATTTGCAGTTTACCTGATAATACATGTCTCATATGATGCTACTTCAAGAAAATGTAGTCAAACCAGAACTGGATTATCTCTGTTGCTGTCTTCGGAGATTTCCACTCCACTCCATTTGTTGCATAGTGTAAACAACAATAGACCTACAGTCTGGCAGCCTAGCCCACTTATTAAGCCAATCCACAAGCCCTGTAAAAAAAAGCATGGGAAAAAAAAAAACTTGGTAACGCAAATATGAAAGGAGGGCAAATTATAGTAGTCCCCAATCTCACTTGGTGCAATTTACTATTAATTTTTCTGGTTTTCTCCTTCAATTATGTGAATTTGTTTCACTTTTTCGCACTAGCCAACCCCCGTTATGTGTTTTGGACAATCCAAATGTAGTTGGGTTTGAGGATAATATGGACCAAATTAACATAAGGTTAGACAATGTGACATGCATGATTGGCATTTTCCATCCAAAATCCAACCTCTGGTGGGTGTTGAAGCAGTGAGGAACCAATTAGTAGAATTGAAGAGGCAGCATGAGAAAATTGATAACAGGAGATATAACGAGGTTTGGTTGGTCATAGTTTATTGGTGTTGTGTGTAATATTTTCCTAAAACAATCAATTAACTAGGAGTTTGTCCCTCAATTTAGTGTACCCACACAGTGCACATATGTATAAATGGGTCCACGTATGCTCTAATATACAATCATCATTTTTTCTCAATGAAAGGCCATCCATCATAAAGGCAAGTAGAATCCACTATATATAAGTGGATCTCCTACAAATACACGGGGAATAACATGCATCGAGGAAAATTGAGGTAAAATGTACTGAACAGATCCCAATCCATTTATAAACATACACTATACATAAGCAGAAAAACACAAACTATGCCTCACCATAACAAGGAGTTTGAACAGACCCCAATCCATTTATAAACAAACACTATCTATAAGCAGAAAAACACAAACTATGCCTCACCATAACATTGAGTTTGAACAAAAATCCGAGGATGCCTGCAATTGGCATGCCGATTATATAGAATGTTCCCAAGTTAATGTACACAGCAAAATGCTGCCAACCGCATCCCCTGGCCACCCCTGCAGAACAAAAATCAGATCCAATGAATGTAAATCCTTGAAAGAAACCATACCCATCATAGTAAATATATGGTTGAATCCAACCTGATAAGACTCCTTGGATAGAATCAAACATTATCGAGATTACGAGCAGAGGTGTCATTGAAGCATATCCCTGTATTATTACTGGACTATTACTGAAGCTACCAGCCCAGATATCATGACCAAAAGCAAGAGCCAACACAACAACTAGACCAAGCAGGATAGAGAGCTTGACACTGACAGCCATAGCGTTCTTAGCTCGATCAGGATTGCCTGATCCTAATTCATTTGACACCCTTGTGCTGTTATGATAAGTTCAAATTACTCAACAGCTGAAGCAAAATGGAAATATATTTATAGTAACTGAAATCTTTTTCAATAACTGACCTTGCGGCAGCACTTAGACCATAGGTAATCATATAGGCAATGGCCTCTGTATTGACACTGGAGAAAAATTAACCCCAAAAGACTGCCAGTGTCAACCATTGCACAAAAAAATTTAAGTTGAAAATGAAAAAGTACAGAAGTACAGAAATCTCACCACATTGCCATCAATGAAGTGGTTATTTCTGAATTTGGCATCAATCCAGCTAGTAAAACCAGAACCTCAAAAGCCCAATATTCCAAGCTGGTAAAAATTTTGAAAAATAGAATTCATGGATATGCAAGTTGTTAGAGTGAAAGAGCCTCGTGCTATCTGAGAAGTCAATAAAACAGACCAAGGGAGGAAAAGGGTCACTGACCACACCATAGCTGCAGAAGGAAGGGCCAACTTCAAGCCTATAAGAATATAATGGAATGACTCCGACGAAAATCCTTGCCAGGTTTGCTTAAATATGTTGGCATTAAACGCATATATGGCCAACATAAGAACTGAGATCCATAATGAAACTGAAACGGCCAATGCTGCACCCTTGAAGGCAAGAGGTGTCCAATGAACCAAAATATAGGTGATGCCAATGTGGAGAACTAATGGGACCACCGAACAAACCACCAGTGGCAAAACAACAGACTGTGTCTGAAGAAATCTTAAGATGTTATGCAAAAACCCATATGCAAATAATCCTGGTATGAGATACTTCATATACAAAGCAGCAGTTTTTGCTATCTGAGGATCTTGCTGAAGTAATATCAGAATGGTTTCAGTGAACATCCAGATAATTGATATAATGATACAAAAGATGATAGATATGATGCAAGATGCTTGTAAATATATTCCCAACAGTCTGTATAATTTTGCGCCATATGCTTGCCCACACAATGTCTCAAGTGCTCCACTTAGACCAACCTGAAACAAAAAGGACAAAAAATTGAAATCAATCAATCAGAAAATCACAATAGAGAAGTATAAGGAAAACAATGAATCATCAGGAAATCAATATTATGCAGTTAGCCCCTCTGCACATCACCCCGCCTTAAAAATAGACACAGTTAGCCTCATGTAATCTGTACATGAAGATGCATAGTTGGTGCCTTGGAGGCTGTATCGGTAATAACTAAAAAAACCTCAACACCCCTCAGTTTCATTTTAACAAAAAACTAAAATCAGACCCCACCCCTTTCACCCCAAACTCCTGGGGTCCTCCACTTCCAGCCCCAGCTTAGGCAGCCATGCCATACCCTCCCCACCCCCAACTGTGGCAACCATATCCATCTCTTTGGGCATTGATATCCTACAATCCTAGGCAAAAACATCTTCCCTGTTTTGGAAAAACTGAAAGCTAACACACAATGCAGATCAAAACTTGAAAATCTTGCTTGTATGCAAGCACACGACTTTATTGAAGTGAACCATTCTGTTTTCTTTGCGCTATTCACATAAATATTTACGAAATTTTCACATATGCTATTTAAATTGTTCTGCTCAAGTTCTCTGCATCAATTGTGCCTTTATTTTTACCTGACCTTTAGCATATGGAGATATCATTGACTAAGCAACCTTTTTCTGGCAATTTGTCAAAGAGCTTACGAGCAACATTTACTTCCCCACACTTCAATATAGGGTGTTGTTCATGACCCAAAGAGATTATGTGGGCATGAAGTTGTTTACAATTAGGAAGTGACTGAGGTTGCTACGAGACGAACTGTAACCATTGAAAGTGATTCACAAACTGTAGTAAATGCATTGGAGTATCCTACCCATTATCCAGGACATAAAATATATGCTCAGTAAACATCCAGACTGATTGGAGCATATATCACACACTTCCATAGAATCCAACACAGCTGCACATGAATTGGTGAGGTGGGGGATTCAAACTCAGCATAGCCAGCTGCACTCTAATGTCAGAGAATCTCCCACAGACAGTCATAGAAGAAGTACTCAAAGATCAAAATCTCATACATGTTTATGACTGATGATACTATTGTAAATAAGAGAATTCCCTAGATTTGAGTAGTAAATACGGTTGACTAACTAACCCAAAAATGAGAACCAAGTAAATTTGACAACAGATGAGACATAAATTGACATGAAGAAGATGGGATCCGACAATAACATGTGGATGCAAAACATAAATATGAAAACTAGGAAGCAAATTCCTACTTAGCTGCTCTCTCCTTAAAATATAAAACCATTCAACCACCACCACTATAACAAGAACAAATTCGCACGTCTCTTTTAACTCAAACATTATTTGTAGTCAACATATAACGCTAAGCCATGTAAGAACAGGCAAATTAAAAAATAAAAAAAATATATTTTTAGAGAGAGGTGTACCACGAAAGAGAGACCGGTGACAGTGGCCCAAGAGTTAGCAAGATTGCCGCCGGCGAGCTCAAGCTCTCCAAGGTGGCCGGCGAACATGACAGATATCACAGGGATGAAGTAGAAAGAAACATTGGTGAGTATCATCGGCAGAGAAAACAAGATCTGGTTCTTGGATTCTTCCAAGTCCAACACCTTCTTCCACCAAGTCTCCTTCCTTTCTCTCTCGTCACCACCATACTCTAGCAGCGGACGATCAACATCTGACCTATTGCTTCCAGAGAACTCTGTCATTATATCTGTCTCTCCAAATCTTTCTCTTGTCTCTTGTCTCTCTATAGGGACATGGAAGAGAGAGGCTATACAGGCGAGAACACAAAAATCTTATCTTCATGGGATGGGGTGTTGGGGGGGGGG